ACCCCACCCTACCCCACCTACCTCATCCACCATTCACCCTCACAGAGGCGCCTGTCGCATGCTGGCGCTTCGGTGGGCGCCTGTCACACCTGGGACGTGCGAAAAGTAATATGGCGGCCCGGCCCGCCCCCTCCAGATCCACCTGAAGCCCCCTAGTAAACCGGATGTCGCTCTCAAAACGCGCGAAGGTTCCGGTGAAATTTGATTAGAAGGTTGAGGACGCGACATAACTTCGTTTTGGCTTTGGCAAATGCGGGCGACTGGGGCGCGTGGCCTCCGGGAAGACGTAGAGTCGTAGAGTCGTGTCTCGTCTTCTTCGTGTTAGCAGAGGCACTGAGAAAGTAGGGAAAAGTGGGAAGGAGGAAATGAGAGGTCGAATAGGAGGGGGACGCTTATTGGCGCAAGTGAATGTTCGTCTGCTCCCCAAAATATTGTTAGCTAAGGCAGCCAATGTATGGCTGGCTCAGGAGGAACCAGAAAATATGACTGAAACAACCACCACCACCTCGCGGTAAAACCAATATTTTTTGTTCTCACGACCATAAGAATGTTGCATCAACCATATTTAATGGTTCTCCCCTAAGCCAATCATAGGACGGTTGCTGAAGCTAATCATTTTTCTGGGTGCGCCTGGCGCGGCAGTTGTCTGCGTCTGTTCGACCGGCTCTCACTCTCGGTGCGTTCGCTCCGAGTAAGTTCGGCGTGGGTTTGGCGCTGCAGACCCAATGGCCTTCGATTTTATTCCAAGCAATTTTCCCTGATTATCATTTTGGTAGCAGGTGTGGTGGCGCCCGCGCGAGGGAAGCCCTCCCTCTGCGCCCAATCGACGCGGGCGGGGCGGGGTGGTGCCGGGGTGGGGCGGAGCGATGCAGTTATGGTTGGCAGTCATGACACCTGTGCCGCACGCATTCGAAGGAGCAGATGATTTAGGATTTTCTTTTTGTATTACGTCATTATTTTTCCTTTCCTCTGGGAAATAGTAGTGGCAGACCATATGTTTCTAACTTTTGGTAATAATAAATGCTTTCGCAAACTGCATTCTGGTTGTAAGGGCAAGGAGAGTAACTATGGCCCCTTTTCCATGTGGCACACTGAAATTCCCGGATTATTGATTTGTGATAATGCGCGGCATCCTGTGCGAGTATAAAGGGTTCATTAAGTCACGGAATGTTTTGGTACCTATTTGCGAAACGATGGCCCCCGCCATCCATGAAGGAATAACGACGTCTGTCATTATTGCAGCCGGTCATGCCGCCGGATAGCCGCGGATGTCCGTCCGGACAGGGTACAATAACAACGCTGTGCGTAAGGCAATATGAACGTGCGCGTCATCCCGCGCGGATGAGTTTGAAGTGATCCGATATGTCGTGTTGTTTCGCAAAGTTGTTTGAAATGCCGCCGCCGCCGCGCTTCGCGTTCCTTGTTTCTCTCTGTTTGTGCAGCGCGGGCCGTGCGTGCGGCTCAATCGAT